TGCGGGAAAAAAATCTGCCTCATCAGTCATGTATCGAAAGATACATGATCGCCTAAACGTTTATCACGCATGGCACATAACTGACTAGGAGGCACGGATTGAGAAATCGTAGAGCCGAGTTCGAATTCCAGTCGAATTCATTACATTCACTTACATGCTAATACCCTTGGGAAGGTATGAATCCTCTTTTTCTCCCCCCCTCCCCCAGCCATGAGTAAATAGCAGGACAGACCGTGTTCTATAGCCTTGGATGGCAACTGATTTACCGCAGAGAGAAATGGCAACCCACTGCGGGGAAAAATCTTCTTCGTCAATCGTGTATCTGTTGTGTATGATACACCTAATTTACATAAGTGGAGTACCGACCATATAAATATGGGTTGGTACCGGAAGACGACGGAAGATTAAGAGATCGAATCCAGAGACTCTGCCCGACTGCGACTTAGTCAACCCATTCTGCAGGAACAGTCTTCCCAAGAATATACCAAAACTACCTGTAAATATTGTGTACCTTTTTTCATTGTTTCAATACATTTTGTTACGTACATTTTGTGTTGTATTATTATTATTCCATGCTTATTCAAGCTTCAACAGTATCAAAAGATACACGATTGACAAAGTGTGTATCAGGCATGTCACATAACTAATTGAACGCTCAACATTGAGTGGCTCTTGGGCTTTGTAGCGGATGATCATAAGTATGATATTATTTTACGTTTAGGATAAGAACAATAGTTTGGCATATAAGGGCTACGAAAAGGAAAGGTCTTAACCATAGGTAGGCTTTTCTTTCTCGTTAGTAATGTATTCAGTTAAAAATTCATTAATCTATACAAGACTATCGAGTGCCTGGTCATATTAGAGTGTCGAAAAGAATCCTAGCTTCTTGTCTCAAACACATTAAGCTCATTTAGTGCAGAACTTAACTAGGTCATGTGATGTAGGGGCGTCTATTTTCAAACGCTGACGTCCGGTAATATATCTGACTGCTTCCGCTTTTGACTCAAGGAAATATCACGCATGCGCTAAAAAGTAAATGGAACGAGATGCAGACGAGTGGTAAATCTTTTTATGATAGAAGTGTCTTGGCTGAAATACAAATATAATTATTAATCACTTATATATAATTACTAATCAGTTATGTAAACCTATGCGAGATCCAGTTACTAATGATCTGGAGTGAGCGCCTCGATGAAGGTAGTCGTTGCTCTTGGTACCAATCCTGTGGGTTATGTATGATTAGATGGGTATCACCCCTGGAAATATATTGCGTTTAGGAACTTATTTTCGCCCCGATGAAACAATGGCATGATACTTGTGTCGTACCGTGACGGTCTGGGCGCAATACACAGAGTCAGTAGCGGATGCGAACTGTTGATGAGTCCCAAAAACGACGAAACGGCCATCCAGTGCTTTACTGCAAGTGTGTGTGTTGAGGATTCAAGGTACAGACATGCGTAATTATATATATATATATATATATATATATATATATATATATATATCAGGCAGGATGTGTGTGTGTGTGTGTGTGTGTAACGAATGCACGGCCGCAATTTTCGAAGGATTTGCACCAAAATTTACATGCTCCAAGTTAGCGGGAAAGGCCAACACCGACTTTGCATTTCCCAACTCCCATCGATAGTGGCAATAATCGATTATTTTATGCTTCTAAGGCAGTTTTTATGTAGTTTGCGGCTATTTTCTACTGGCCATAGTGAGAGCCTATAGCTGGCTGCCACTAATAAACAGGAAGATTTTATTGGCCAGCGTGAGAGCCAACAGCTGATTGACACGAATGTTAACTAGCATGCTAGCACGCAAAAAAAGTCACAAGTGGGAAAAATTTAAATCTGCATGGCACTTTACTCCAATTGGCTCATTCGCTTGCTTAAACTCAACGTTGATTCTGATTCCGCAAAACTGGGTTCGGTGTGAAAAAGTATTTGTTGTTAACATTCTATTTTATTCGGTTTTTCCAGTTACGAGTCCTTTTTTAAAGCTGATCGTTTTGTGTTCATTTTGTTTAGTTCTTTTTTCGTAACAGATTTAATGTTTAGTATAGAGCTTAGAAAATATTCGCAGTGTGATATAGGCAAGAAGTAAGGCATGTAGCAACATCAGCACGGCACTCCTTCAAAGCAAGGAAGGGCAAAAATATTTTAAGTCAAGTGATAGCGATTGCTGTATGAGTCGCATGATTTTTTTGTCAAGGACAGGCAACGCCACGCCATGTTGCCAGTATATATATATATATATATATATATATATATATATATATATATATATATATATATATATATATATATATGCGTATATTTCAGTAGCATATTTTCATTAAGGTTTCGTTAAATAATTTAGACATGTTGCGTCTACTTATTCTCGATAGGATCCTTTGATATTCACGGATAAGCTTTTTTGTGCGGTTATTAAAAGACGAGAAGAAAACACCGTGTTGGCTCATATTGTATTTATTCCGAGTACTTTCGACATAGCATAATATTATCATCAGTTAAATATAGAGTCAGTATTTAGTATTCATGGTTGTGAAGGACAAAAAATCTTGTGGCCATCCGTAGATTACCATTTTTATATATGGAGTCACGAACGTTGTGTCATGGCTTGGGTGACGCGGACACCGTTTAAGGGGAGATAACTAGGTATGCTGTGAAAAAATTCTGGACAGGAGTAGTTGCTAATGGTAACTTTCGGATGACAACAATTTTTGTCCTCATTTCAATACCCTTTTCAACACCAACGAGTTAGAGATTTTATCTTAGTCCTTGGTGTTGAAAAGCCCGTTCGGGGCGAAATGGCCGTATATATCATATGGTGGCGACCTATACTTTCCGTACAGGCCAATACCCAAACATATATTAGATCACCAGTAGCCCCAAATATAGGCCTATTGGTAAATTAAGTTAGTCTACTGTATACGTTAACCCGTGCCGAAATTACATAGCCCCAAACTACTTGACTGCATATTGGGTCGCTAACTATAATTATGTGTTTTATAGCAAACAACCTACAATACACACCGGTACCGAATAATTTATAGGCGTAACTTAGAGAATATTTAAAATTTGCACCGGTTTACTGATAAAAGCATTAAAGTCAACATTAACTTGTATAAAATATTAATACTGTAGATTACGCACCATAGCATACTTTGTGATGGTAATGCTTTGTATTGTATGTTATTGTGAAACACAGTATCAATCGTCCGCCATTTGCATCAGCGATCGAACGAGAAGGCCTAGTAATGAAACCTGTTCTGTCATAAAGTTTCTGTTTCGAAAGTCAGAAAAAAATCAAAAAGTATTCCCTGATTGCATACAAATTGAAAACGAGATTTACCAACTTACAGCAGATATTAACTTATAATACTATGAGAATTTGGTTTAGAATTTGCTGTAATTCTAAGGAAGAGTGTATGGCTTGTTGTTAGAAGATCAGCTGGGTCAGGAGATTGAATTCACTATGCAATTCAACTATCTATCTATCTATCTATCTATCTATCTATCTATCTATCTATCTGTTTCTGTTTCTATCTATCTATCTATCTATCTATCTATCTATCTAACTTTTTGTCTGTCTTTCTTTCTTTCTATTTATCTATCTATCGCTGTTCATACCTATCTATCGCTGTTCATATCTATCCATCTATCTATCTATACGCCTCTATTTATATCTATCTATACGTTTCTGTTTCTTTCTATTATCTATCTATCTATCTATCTATCTATCTATCTATCTATCTATCTATCTATCTGTCTGTCTATCTAACTATCTATGTTCATATCTATCTATCTATCTATCTATCTATCTATCTATCTTTCATTCTTTCTATCTATCTATCTATCTATCTATCTATCTCTGTTCATATCTATTCATCTATCTATCTATACGCCTCTGTTTATATCTATCTATCTATCTATCTATCTATTTGTCTGTCTTTTTTTCTTTCTTTCTATCAATCTATCTATCTATCTGTCGATACACTATTCATCTACAGACATATATCAAAATATAAGTATTATATATATATATATATATATATATATATATATATATATATATATATATATATATATATATATATGCACATTTCATTGAATACGACAGACAAGGTGATTTTATTTAGTTTCTTATACAATTTCTCAGGCGATTTAATAATTTTCTTTTCTTTTCAGATAATAAATTATATAAAAAACTGTCCGAATGTTCTTTTTATCCGAGCGCTTTCGGCTATACATTTAGCCATTTTCAAGGATGAAATATTTTAACTGTTAAATAAGAAATAGTTTGTTGTATGTATGTTTTTCAAAACACGGTCAAGATATTGTGTCCATGATCAAAGTTAATATTATTAAGTGTTGTTTTTTTTGTTTTTATTAATAAGGCTTCCATTATTTTTAGCCTTTTTTTCTGCATGTAGATGATGCTGTTATATTAGTGTTGTCAACAAGTATGTTACGAATAGTGTCCAGTAGGTCTCCATGACCATTTAAATGAGATTTAATTGAGCTATGGTCAGAAAGGTGTAGAGTGAGTCTGCGTGTCAAATATGTTGTTATGTGGTCTATATAATATATAGTTAAACTATTTAATCCTTAAAAATGGCTAAATGAATAGTCGAAAGGGTTCGTATAAATACAACATTCGGACAGTTTTTATATAATTTACCACTCGAAAAGAAAAAAAATGATTAGATCGCATGAGAAATTGTATAAAAAAAATTAAATAAGAGCACCTTGTCTGTCGTATTCAATGAAATGTGCATGAAAGTAGGATTGCTGCAAAATACTCAAATATATATATATATATATATATATATATATATATATATATATATATATAACATTCTTAATTTGATATATACTGTTTTACATATATAGATATATATGTACTTGTGTATGTGTGTGAATATGGATGTGTAAGCGTAGAGAGAAAAATAGAGAGGTAAAGAGAAAAACGAAGGTCTGCTCTATATTTCTATATCAACTGTCTACGTATTTGAAAATGGTGAACAAAAAATAGACAGAGAGATAGAAAGAGGGACTATCTGATATGCAGTTTGGGCAGATATAGACAAATTGACCGAAAATCTCATAAACAGAGGGCGATGGAGAGTAAGAGCCTTAAAAAGGTCATGTTATACACAAGCAGGATTACCTATATACAGGCAGATAGATATAATGTCTTAGATAGATAGATAGATAGATAGATAGATAGATAGTTAGATAGATGCGAACAGAGATAGATAAATAGATTAGAGTTGTAGAGAGATCGGTAGATAAGTATTGAATATAATTAGATAGATCGATAGATAATGAATATAATATGGGCAAAAATTACATATTGATAATGAAAAGTTGACAGATAGATAGATAGATAGATAGATAGATAGATAGATAGATAGATAGACATCTATATAGATAGATATATAATGATCAAATGGAGATACATAGATAGGTATGAACAGACGTAGATAGATAGATAGATAGATAGATAGATAGATAGATAGATAGATAGATAGATAATGAACAAACGTAGATACATACATAAGATAGATATGGGAAAAAATTACATACTGATAATGTTGGCAGATATGTAGATACATAGATATGAACAGCTGTAGATAGATAGATAGATAGATAGATAGATAGATAGATAGATAGATAGATAGATAGATAGATATTGGTGAGAAAGGGACAGATAGATAGATAGATAGATAGATAGATAGATAGATAGATATTGGTGAGAAAGGGACAGATAGATAGATAGATAGATAGATAGATAGATAGATAGATAGATAGATAGATAGATAGATAGATATGAACAGCTGTAGAGAGATCGGTAGATAGGTAATGAAGATAGATAGATAGATAGATAGATAGATAGATAGATAGATAGATATTGGTGAGAAAGGGATAGATAGATAGATAGATAGATAGATAGATAGATAGATAGATAGATATTGGTGAGAAAGGGATAGATAGATAGATAGATAAATAGATAGATAGATAGATCCGATAAGAATACGTTGTTGAGCGGCAGATGAAAAAAACACGAGTTTAATGGCACGATAAAATAGGAAATTCGTGTGACTAATATCGTGAGGAGAAATAGGAAGAAAGCAGACAGACATCGACGGAATCGACAGAAGCTAAAGCGTCGTGTTTTCTATGCCAAGCCGTAAGCGACCAGTATTGAAGGTCGGTAATCCAAGACCTACCAGATGCGGACAGTTCTGCTTCTCGCCTCCATTTCAACTTGCTCCTTTCGGCTACAGCGTCACTCACCGGCCGACATCTTGGCCCAAATGCGATTCTGACGGTAATATGAAATATTTATCATTTACCACTCAAAGAGGAAGTGAGGATGACAACGTCAAGGGATTAATGCACTTGCAGCGGAAATGAACGCCTTTTTAAATAGAAAGGCAATTGTCTATAAACGACTGGTGTATCCACTTTGAATACATACGAGCTTTGATCAAAATGTATCAGGACTGGTGCTATTAAATCATTCATTTAATCTATCTCATTCTTTTCTCTATCTTGCTCTTTTATCTATCTATCTATCTATCTATCTATCTATCTATCTAATTATATATCTATCTAATTATATTCAATGCCTTCATCGATCTTTCTATCTAGTTATCATATCTATCTATCTATCTATCTATCTATCTCATTCTGCTTCTATCTATCTATCTATCTATCTAATTATATTCAATGCCTATCTATCGATGTCTCTACAACCGTTCATATCTATGTATCGCAATCTGTTTATATATCTATATATCTCTCTATCACAATCTGTTCATCTACGCATGTTCATATCTATCTATCTATCTATCTATCTATCTATCTATCTATCTATCTATCTATCTATCTATCTCATTCTCTTCAATATCTATCTATCTATCTATCTATCTATCTATCTATGCCATTCTGTTCGGTATCAATCATAATCCGTAATCTATCTATCTATCTATCTATCTATCTATCTATCTATCTATCTATCTATCTCATATTGTTCATATTTTTCTTAATATTTTTCTTAATATGTTCATATCTCTATCTATCTGTCTGTTTCTTTCTTTCTTCCTTCCTTCCTTCCTTTCTATCTATCTATCTATCTATCTCTGTTTTTTTTTCTTTTTTCCTTTCTAAACTTCTATCTATCTATCTATCTATCTGTCTGTCTGTTTCTTTCTCTCTTTCTTTCTATCTATCTATCTATCTATCTATCTATCTATCTATCTATCTATCTCAGTCTGTTTATATCTATCTATATCCATATTTATCTACAACACATATCAATTCGCCATTTAAACTCTTACGAATTAGCCCCCTTCTAAAACCAATCATTTTATCCAACGTCGTTTCTAATGGTCGAATCATTAAATAGATAATTCTTTTTTTAGGGACATCGAGAAACTACCTACTCGCATTCTCTTGGATTTCTTCGACGTCTTGAAATCTTTTTTCTTTCAAGTGGGATTTGATTTTTGGAAAGAGGAAAGGACCCAGATTTGGTAAATATTGTGGTTGTCGGACCGGATGAATGTTGTCCTTGGCTCCAAATTGCTCTACAACCTCTGTAGTGTAGTAGGACGGCCGCACTCTATTCATTTTTATTCTAACCACGGCTATAAACAATTGAAGCTAGCGTGATCTTTATATCTTAGTGTGCCTTTTAAAGTGCAAATTAATTAAAGAAATAAATCTCTTCAGCCAGAACAATTTTGCTTAAGAAATCTCTATCTATAAAAGGCAGGATGTGTGTGTGTGTGTGTGTGTGTGTGTGTGTGTGTGTGTGTGTGTGTGTGTAACAAATGCACGGCCGCAATTTTCGACGGACTTGCACCAAAAATTTCCATGCACATGCTCCAAGTTAGCGGGGAGGCCAAAACTGATTTTGCATTTCCCAACTCCCATCGATAGTGGAAATAATCGATTTTTTCATACTTCTACGGCAGTTTTCATGTAGTTTGCGGCCATTTTGTACTGGCCAGAGTGAGAGCCTATAGCTGGCTGCTATGAATAGGCAGGAAGGTTCTATTGGCCAGCGTGAGAGCCAACAGCTGACTGACACGAATGTTAACTAGCATGCAAAAACATCCGATAGCTGTATTCGTCACAAGTGGAAAAATTTAAATCTGCATGGCACTTTACTCCAATTGGCTCATTCGCTTGCTTAAACTCAATGTTGATTCTGATTCCGCAGAACTGGGTTCGGTGTGAAAAAGTATTTGTTGTTAACATTCTTTTTCATTCGGTTTTTCCAGTTACGAGTCCTTTTTTTTAAAGCTGATCGTTTTGTGTTCATTTTGTTTAGTTCTTTTTTCGTAACAGATTTAATGTTTAGTATAGAGCTTAGAAAAAATTCGTAGTGTGAGATAGGCAAGAAGTAAGGCATGTAGCAACATCAGCACGGCAAAGGGCACTCCTTTAAAGGCAAGGAAGGGCAAAAATATTTTAAGTCAAGTGATAGCGATTGCTGTATGAGTCGTACGATTTTTTAATCAAGCACGGGCAACGCCGGGCCATGCTGCTAGTTGAGTAATATAAAGTATTTTTGTTTTGTTTTTTATAGCATATTAATCTCAACAAGTTACTTAATGCAAAAAAAAAATAAAAATTTCATAATATATTCCTGTAATATTCATTCTTTGTATGAAATAAATTTGTTGACCGTCAAATATGTTACTTTAAAATTTTTCCAAAATTATTGCTTGTAATTTTTTTTTTCAAAAGATTATTGCTAGTAATCCTTTTTTTTTTCTTTTAACTCTAGGATGGCCCATGTGTCGTTTTCGACAGCTTCAAATTTTCAACAAATTACTATGGAATAACTAGTTTTGGTTCGATGCTGAGGCTTATGGACAATTATTGAATTTTGGCAAAGATGCTTAACAGACTTAATTCTTTAAAAAATATTCAGTGGAATTTGATATTTTTTTACCTTGAATGGCCAAGGTGTCGTTTTTGACACCTAGGCTATTTATAGGGTAAATGCATTGAAAAATTTCTCTGATACAATAATACTTGTGTTTATGTCCCCCATCTATCTATTTATCTATCTATCTATGCACACATACATATATATATATATATATATATATATATATATATATATATATATATATATATATATAAATCACTTTTTCAGTATGAGGTATACTAATATTTGTGAATTTCTTATCAGACTTGTTATTCCTGACTTGAATATTGAATATATTAGAGATGGCTGCTTCACGGCGTAATGTAAATAAAGATGTCAAAGGAACTGGCCATCCTAGTGTTAAAAATGTATTTTTTATTCTTTCTATGCATTCATTGCTGGGACCCAAACAGGTGCTACCACCCCGGGTCAGGGTGGACGGGAGAGTAACAGCAATTCAAAACATCCCGATCAGAGGCCTTGCTGCTGGAGGTAGTTTATCGTCATACCCAGGACGCGGTAGTATAAATTAAACAATTATGGATAACTGTTTTCCAATTTATGTTGTTGACAGTCAAATAAGACTTCATTTAAACAACAATAATTTTAATCATATAAACCCTAGTTCGGTAGCTAAGATTAACAATAACGTCATTAAGATATTATACCAAAAAATAATTAATTATATCTATAAAAAAGGATGAAATCTTAATTAAAATCATAATCTATTGTCGTTGATAAATATAAACATTTAAGATTTAAACGTCACTATCGAAATGAAATTTAAAAATCATAATAATAACTCCCAACATGACATCTTCCTGCATAAGATATGTGTGTGTGTGTATGTGTGTGTATATATATATATATATATATATATATATATATATATATGAGAAAGAAAGTAATATATAAAATTCTAACGTTCACAGCATTAATCCAAAAGAGGCTCGATATCGATAGTAGTGCATTACGTGCATTTCAACCTGTCGAAGTGCAGTTGAAAATGCACTTAAACGAAGTTGCATCTTTGTAGTGAGTAAAATGGTTTATTCTATATGATAAAATTATAATATATATATATATATATATATATATATATATATATTTATTGAAATAAATTATATATATATATATTTATATATATAATATATATATTTATTTTATTTATATATATATATATATATATATATATATATATATATATATAATATATATATATATATATATTTATATATATATATATATATATATATATATATTTTTTAAATTTTTTAAATTATTGTAATGGTACCTAAATATGTATATGTTATATATATATATATATATATATATATATATATATATATATATATATATATATATATATATATATATATATATATATATATATAGAGAGAGAGAGAGAGAGAGAGAGAGAGAGAGATCGGCTTGAGGAACTGGAGAGCCGAGTTCAAATTCCACTCGAATACATTACATTAATCCTCTTCTTCTCCCCTCCAGCTATGCATAAATAGCTGGACAGATTGTAATCTATAGCCTTGGATGGCAACTGGTGTAGGAGAAGGATAACTCTGAATTCAAAACCTGCGGAGGGTGGTTTGGGGACCTTGTGGCACAAAGTGCACTAGGTCTCTGTATTCAACCCTTCAAAAAAGTATGGATGGTCCTGCAATGAAACCTTCACCACTATAATCAAATGTCTTGTGCTGATACATAGAATAATATATATATATATATATATATATATATATATATATATATATATATATATATATATAAATATATACATACATATATATAATCATATAAATACACATACATAAATCATATATCTAAAATAGGAACTGATGAATTGGATCTTCTTAAAGAGCAGGACAGAGTGTGTTCTATAGCCTTGGATGGCAACTGGTCTAGGAGAAGGACAACTCTGAATTCAAAACCTGCGGCGAGTCGTTTAGGGACCTTGTGGCACATAGTGCACCAGGTCTCTGTATTCGGCTCTTCAAAATGTGTGATTGGTTCTTCACAAAGCCTTCACCACTATAATCAAATCATATGTGCTGGTGTCTGGCCTGTCGGTACCTAGGAATTGAGCTGCTTGATCCTCATACGTCGAATACGACGGGAGAGTCCACCATTAATCATATCTTATAATTGTCCCCTGTTCTAAGAACTCTATTTTCTTTATCACTCTCACCTCTTTATCCATATACTTTTTTAATGATTAAGTTGTTTCTCTCAATATTTTAACTTATCTTTAAATCTAGAAATGGATATTTATTTTATCTTTATTTTTCTTTATTTTGTAATATGAAATTAAAAAAAAATATATTCTAGCTTTATATAAATTATCTAAATATGATTGACTGTTAATAGAGTTAATACTAGCAGCATGGCCCGGCGTTGCCCGTACTTGATTCAAAAATCGTCCGACTCATACAGCAATCGCTTTCACTTGACTTAAAATATTTTTGCCCTTCCTTGCCTTTAAAGGAGTGCCCTTTGCCATGCTGATGTTGCTACATGCCTTACTTCTTGCCTATATCACACTGCGAATTTTTTCTAAGATCTATACTAAACATTAAATCTGTTACGAAAAAATGAACTAAACAAAATGAACACAAAACGATCAGCTTTAAAAAAAGGACTCGTAACTGGAAAAACGGAATGAAAAAAGAATGTTAACAACAAATACTTTTTCACACCCAACCCAGTTCTGCGGAATCAGAATCAACGTTGAGTTTAAGCAAGCGAATGAACCAATTGGAGTAAAGTGCCATGCAGATTTAAATTTTTCCCCCTTGTGACCAATGCAGCTATCGATTTACTAGTTAACATTCGTGTCAGTCAGCTGTTGGCTCTCACGCTGGCCAACAGAATCTTCCTGCCTATTCGTGGCAGGCAGCTATTGGCTCTCACTCTGGCCAGTAGAAAATGGCCGCAAACTACATGAAAACTGCCGTAGAAGTATGAAAAAATGGATTATTTCCACTATCGATGGGAGTTGGGAAATGCAAAGTCGGTGTTGGCCTTTCCCGCTAACTTGGAGCATGTGCAAGTAAATTTTGGTGCAAATCCTTCGAAAATTGCGGCCGTGCATTCGTTACACACACACACACACACACACACACACACACACACACACACACACAATGTTGACGTTGACGTTGCCATGTTGACGCATGCGTAGACATGGCATCGTCAACGAAGCCCAGTCCGATGAAATCCTAACGGATGAAACGCATCACAAAAAAAAAAAAAAAATTTTCTAGTTTGTTATACGCATAAATTCACCTTCATCCCAGCCGTGCGCCAACAGCTTAGTGGGAGAATCCCCGCCAATTCGGTCGGATTTCGACTCTAGCTAAAGGCAACCGGACGTCTAGCCACACTGATGAGCTGTGATATAGAGAAACAGTCTGTCTGTGGATGACAATATATATATATACATATAAATATATATATATATATGTGGGGGGGTAAGGGTAAATAGCAGGACAGACTGGGTTCTGTAGCCTTGGATAGCAACTATTTATAAGAAAATATATGCAGTTTTGCATTTGGTGTTGTTCTTTTTTGTTTGTTTTTGGAGGAGGTGGGGTGATTTTAGGGAGGTTGATCTTTTACAAAACATTTTAAAGTAAAACAAATGCACTGATCTTAATCATATATATATATATATATATATATATATATATATATATATATATATAAATTGTTATGAAGAACTTGGTAATCCGTATGGGTAATCCCAAGGAGGATGAAATCTTGAGAGCTCAATGTAAATCCAGAGCTAATATTTTAAAGGAAAACAGACCACTTTAAGGTACTATTACAATAATTTATTTCACCAGAGCCCTTTTAAAAGGACGCCGGATCATCAGCTAGCACTTCCAACAACGAAATGAAACGAAAAATGAGATTAAAATTGATGGGTAGTGTAAGTTTTTGTAATTTAACAGGGGGTGTGAGAGGGATAGTTAAAGAGACATGGTAGAGTATAGGGAGGGATTAATTTTATATTTCTCTCAAGTGTACTTTATATTGGTGTAGGAGGAGTGACCAGACCTTGAACTATTTAGATGGTTAACTTAACGGAAATGATATATAGAAATGGGAGCGGAGTAGGATGCAAAGAAAAAGGAAAAATGAAAAAGAAAGAGGAGACAGACGACAGTAATACAGATATATACAAATGAGTGTTACTGTAAGGAGAGAGAGGGAGAGGGAAGTAAATCGAAATGGGCTGTAATTGGGTTTTAACAATTTATGTAAATTTTTCTATATATATATATATATATATATATATACAGGGTGTTCCAAAAAATTTGACATCATTTTAAAAGCAATTATCTTAAAAACTACTAACTCTAGTTGAATAAAATTGAACAGTT